TTTGGTTTGTTTGTTACTACAGCCAAGCCTAATCTAACAAATACATTTCTAATCAAAGAAATACCAAACTCGTCCTGACTGTGAGCTCTGTAAGGGCAGGGACCATGCCTGTCTAGTTCAGTGCTGTATCCCCAATGTCCAGCCCAGGACACAGCATGGAGTAGATATTCAATAAAGCCAGCTATGTCTTATTGATCAGTTGTCATGTGCCAGACACTGTGCTAAATCTATTATGTGGTGTATTTCATTTCATATTTATGGCAATTTTAATTTATTTTTCCCTTTATTGATTTTAGAGAGAGAGGAAGGGAGAAGGAGCAAAAGATAGAAACACCAATGAGAGAGAACATTGATTGGCTGCCTCCTGCATGTTTCCCACTGGGGTTTTGGCCCACAACCTGGGCATGTGTCCTGACCGGGAATCAAACCGGCGACCTCTTGGTGCATGAGTCGATGCTCAACCACTGAGCCACACCAGTTGGACATTTTTTCTTATAAGGTAGTTTCTATTATTCACTTTGTTTTCCCTCAGATGAAGAAATTAAAACTTAGAAAGCTTATATCTGGTATTCAAATCTAGGCAGGTGCCCCTAGAATCCACACTTTAAAAACACTGGTACACAACCACATGCATACCCACCCTAACGTTTAAATGCAAGTAATTTCTCTCACCAAGGGTATCTTCACCCTTCTCTCCACTTATTAAAGCCCGCCTTCTTCAACCTTCCCAGGTCCCCTTGATCACTCCATCCTTTAATCGCCCCAGCAGGAATTTCATACATGTCATTCCTACAATAGGAATTCCATGTATCTATCTGTGTCCAGAAAGAAATTATAATAACCTTGAGGGTAGCACAATACTTTAGCGATTATTCATCGTGGTGTTCCTTGCAGCATTGAGGAAGATCAAGAGCCCTTTATGTGCCAAGCACTCTCCGGGCATGGGGGACCAAAATATAAATAAATAGTCAGTCCACTCTCTCAAAAAGTGAAGTCTTATGGAATAAGCAGACCTTTAAACACGCATTGTGTGTTAAGACCGAATGTAACCTCTGCATTAAGAGAGGCAGAAGAAGAGCAAGGAACCCGTTCTTGGAGGAGGGAAGAAAGGATTGCCAGAGCACGTGCTCTTTGAGCTGGGCTCCTGAAGGATGACTAGGAGTTTTTCAGTGGTGTAAGAGGGATTCTAACCGGTGGGGAAAACATGCACAAAAGTATGATGTATCAGGATGCAAGTGCTGTTCTGATGAGTGAGGTGTTGACTCATTATAATGTGGGATTCATTCCTTCATCAATTTATTTATTCAACAGAGCAAACCTACAATTTGGCAGGCATTATGCTAAATGCAGAAGGATTTAAAGGGGGTAAAACACATATGATCCCTACCCGTGTGGAACTTAAAATCCGTTAGGAATGCAGCTGAAAACAAAGCTCTAACAATTATGTGCGAGAAAGGAAAGAGACAAGGATATCCAAGCATAGGAGGGAAGAGCTGGGGAACGGAGCTGGGACAGATTATGAGACACTCCCCCTCCACACACACACACCATGCTAGGGAGATGGAAGTCCCCCTTCAATCTGGTCTGACCTCAGAATCCACATTTCTCATTGCCCTTAGGATAGGTCCAAATATAGACACATGGAATTAAAGGTTCTTCCTGATCCAGCTCCTGCTCACTCATTCATCCAACCTCATCCTTAGACACCCCTTTCACTTAAACTCCGTGCAGCTCCAGTAACTGCCATGCTCTTTTCATTCTTTGACTTGGCACATATGGTTCCTTCTGCCTGGAATATTTCCTGCCTCCTTTCCTCCATCTATTTTTCCTTTGGCAGACTCAAATGGTGCTTCTGTCTTGCCTAAAATGCCACCTCACCAGATTGGACAGCATGCTACTCCAGCATGTCCCTAGCACCTCAAGCTTCCCCTTATCAGATTACAGAAGACACTGTTTTAGAAATGCTTGTTCAGCTGTGTTCTCCACTATATTGTGAACTCCTTGGGGGCCAGAACTGATTTGTTCATCATCAAATCCCCAGCATAGTACCTGGAGTACAGTAGGTACTTAAGAAATATTTACTGAGTGAATAAAAGTGCTTTATTCAGGAGGCAAAGGGAAGCCATCCAAATTCTTGAAGCAAGGGTGTGACCTTATCAAACTTGTGCTCACAAGGTTAATCTGAAGGCAAGCCTTGGCCACGAGGGACCATCCTCACCAGCATGTGAGGAAGAAAAAGCTCATTTGCATTGTGCTCTTGGTCTTGAGCTGTGAAACTTGGCTCCTATCTCTTTTTGACCATATTGGATATTGGAAAATACCAGAAACTGTTATGGTAATGACTAGGCTTCCCTTTATGTACATGGGACAAGGAAGAAGAACTTGGGACTTGGGTCTGGGCCCCGAACTCTCACTAGAATCAGGAGTCCCTCTGCCAAGAAGGCTGTGGGAAGCCTAGACCATGTGGGGAGCCACAGACTTGACTCTGCAGGAAACCAGGAGCAGCCTCTGAACGTCCTCCTCCAGCTTGGACCATTCTACGCTCATGTATCGCATAACCGATGTTTCAGTGAACAATGGACTGACTTTATATACAGCAGTGGTCCCATAAGATTAAAGTGAAGCTGAAAAATTCCAATCACCTGGTGATGTTGTAGCCATTACTCACATGTCTGTGGTGCTGCTGGTGTAAACAAACTTACTGTGCTGCCAGTTGTATAAAAGTATAGCACTTCCAATGATGTGCAGCACATAATACTTGATAATGATAACAAACAACTGTGTGGCTGGTGTATGTATTTACTATACTATACTTTTATTGTTGTTTTGTAGTGTACTCTTTCTACTTTTTATTTTTAAAAATTATTTATTTATTTATTTATTTATTTATTTATTTATTTATTTATTTATTTTAGTACATGCCCCTAGTGGGAACCAAACCCGGGACTCTCTGGTCCGCAGGCCGATGCTCCAACTGCTGAGCCAAACCGGCCAGGGCTCTTTCTACTTTTTAAAAGAAAGTTTGCTGTAAAACAATATGCCATGTTACATTGGCAACAGCATCATACATCTTGTGTTTACTAAGTCTCTTGATTGTATCATTTTCTCGTGTTTGATTTACTCTCATATTGTTTTATAAATTTAGTGTAGCCTAAGTGTACAGTGTTTATAAAGTCTATAGTAGTGTACAGTGTTGACCCTGAGAAGGAATGTATCTGCCAAGAAGGGCTCCATGTGATTAACTGGGCTCAAATTCATAGTCAGAGTCTAGCAGCCATTGATAATAGGGGCTTCTCACACACACTGCCTTTCAGGGGAAAGTTAGAGTGAACTGCCAGCCTTCTGCTTTATGTTCCTGCCTTGTGAACCAACCTTTATAAAGGTGTTCCTGGAGTCAGTCATCTTTCAACCAATAGGCTGAGTCCTGCCCTGTCCAATTAGAACTACACAGCTATATCCTCATTTGCATCTTTACTGACCAATCAGAGCAGCTCCATAATGATTAATCAGAATGTGCATTTCCTAGCAATCAGGACAGTGCTATTTGTACCAAAAAAACTGAGCAAATGTGGATTCCTTATTTGCATAAAGATGTACCAATCAGGGTCCATCCAGGTCAGGCACTTTCTCTATATAAGCAGGCCTCCTGGGTTGTCTTTGGGAGAACCTTTACAGTTTTCTTCTGAGGCTACATTTCCCAGTTTGTAAACTGTTCACCTGAATAAAGTTTTTCCTTTATAACACCTCAGACTGGGGACTCCTGTTGGAATTGGATTGGTGGCAGTCACCTTTTGCTGATAAGATAATGTCCTAGGCCTTCATATTTACTCACTGACTTGCCCAGAGCAACTTCTAGCCTTGCATACTCCATTCATACTAAGTGCCCTATATAGATATACCATTTTTAATCTTTTTTTATAACTTATTTTTACTGCACCTTTTCTATGTTTAGATATATTTAAATACACAAACACCACTGTGTTACAATTATCTACAGTATTCAGTACAGTAACGTGCTGTACAGTTTGTAGCCTAGAAGCAATAGGCTATACCATAGAGCCTAGGTGTGTAGAAGGCTATACAATCTAGGATGGTGTAAGTGCACTCTCTGATGTTCCTACAACCATGAAATTGCCCAAGAAGGCATTTCTCAGAACATATCCCTGTCCTTCCCATGACTGAGTAGCTACACTTCACTTGCTCACAAAGCACACTACCCTATCTTGTTCTCCTTAAATATGCAAATACTGCTCGTGGACTAGGAAGACTTGAAGGCCAGGTTAAAGGCAGCACCTACAGCTCCCAGTGGAGGTCAAGCAATGCCATTACAGAGTCTCTGTTAGAGACACTGAGTGCCTTAGTTTCCCTGTCTGCTTAAGGGGCATTCCCCAGAAAGCGCTGCCTTGAAGCGCCAGAAACAAAGCGTGTCTGGAAGCGCGGGAAAATCATGTCAACATTCGTCCCGCGAGTCCTAGCCACAAGGAGAGAAGCCAGTGGGCCAAGGGAAGACGCAGAGCTGACCCCCACCTAAGCAATGGCTCCAGGCTCTGCAGCGGAGGGGACCCGGAGCCCGAGCGCGGAGTTTGCAAAGGAGAACTAAACTCTCTTCACGAACAGCGCGCGGAAGAGGGGCGGGTCTGGGCGCCGCGCCTCCCGGGATCCAGCCGCATCTCCAGGCGTTGGGGGCGGGAGGGGGAGGAGCCACGTGGGGAGGAGCAAAACCCGGAGGCCCCAGCAACCTTGGGCAGAGCCAGAGCCGCGGGAGCCGGAGCCCGGGCGCACTGCCCTGGAAGCGCGCGCCGTCCGGGACGAGCCCAGCCCAGCGGCAGCTTCTCCAGCCCACGCTTGCGCTTGTCCCAGTGCACAGCTGGGAAGAAGGGCCAGTGCTGACGGGACGAGGGTCTCAGGGTCCTATTCCATCCCAAGCTGCCGGGCTGCCCGCCGACCCTGTCGCTCAAGCGGGGCCCAGCCCCACCCGCCACCTGCGTCCGAGTTGTGCCATGGATCCTTCGGAGAAGAAGATATCGGTGTGGATCTGCCAGGAGGAGAAGCTGGTGTCTGGGCTCTCTCGTCGTACCACTTGCTCAGACGTGGTGCGAGTGCTGTTGGAAGACGGCTGCCGGCGACGGCGGAAGCTGCGGCAGGGCCGACGGCGGGGGTCGGCCAGTGACCCTCCAGGCCCGGGGGAGCTGCCGGAACCCCTGGACGATGACGACGAAGACGACGACGAGACGCTGCCGCCGGGCTTGCTGTGCGGGCCCCCGCAGTGCTATTGCATCGTGGAGAAGTGGCGGGGCTTTGAGCGCATCCTGCCCAACAAGACGCGCATCTTGCGCCTCTGGGCCGCCTGGGGCGACGAGCAGGAGAATGTGCGCTTCGTGTTGGTGCGCAGCGAGGCGTCGCTACCCAACACGGGTCCGCGCAGCGCCGAGGCGCGCGTGGTGCTCAGTCGCGAGCGCCCCTGCTCAGCCCGGGGGACCCCGGTGCGGCCCAGCCTGGCCATGACCCAAGAGAAGCAGCGGAGGGTGGTGCGCAAGGCCTTCCGAAAGCTGGCCAAGCTCAATCGCCGGCGTCAACAGCAGCCGTCGTCTCCCTGTTCGTCCACTTCGTCGTCCACCGCTTCGTCCTGCTCGTCGTCGCCGCGAGCCACTGAAAGCGCGTCGGTGGAGCGCATGGAGACGCTGGTGCATTTGGTGCTTTCCCAGGACCACACCATCCGTCAGCAGGTGCAGCGGCTTCGGGAGTTGGACCGTGAAATCGATCGCTACGAGGCCAAGGTGCACCTGGATCGCATGCGGCGGCACGGAGTCAACTATGTGCAGGACACTTACTTGCTGGGCGCAGGCATTGAGATCGACGGTTCCAACCCGGGAGAGGAGCCAGAGGCGGCGGCTACGGTGGCGGCAGCGCCCCTGGACGGCGATGCGCAGGCAGAGGCACTGGAGGAGCTGGCCCGACGCTGCGACGACCTGCTGCGGCTGCAAGAGCAGCGGGTCCAGCAGGAGGAGTTGCTCGAGCACCTCTCGGCCGAGATTCAGGAGGAGCTGAACCAGAGGTGGATGCGGCGGCGCCAGGAGGAGCTGGCAGCGCGGGAGGGGTCCCCGGAGCCGGAAGGCAGCCTCGACAGCGAGCTGCTGCTGGAGCAGGAGCGGGTCAGGACGCAGCTCAGCACCAGCCTCTACATCGGGCTCCGGCTCAACACGGACCTGGAGGCCATCAAGTCCGACTTGGATTACAGCCAGCAGCAGTGGGACAGCAAGGAGCGCGAGCTGCAGGGCCTTCTCCAGACTTTGCACACGCTGGAGTTGACGGTGGCACCTGACGGGACTACCAGCTCTGGCGGACCCTCGCGGGAACCCCGGCCTCAGGCCCGCGCTGAGGTGTGGGTGGACCAGGCCCGTGGACTGGCCAAAAGCTGTCCTGGCAACGACGAGGACTCCGACACGGGACTGAGCTCTATGCACAGCCAAGACTCAGACTCAGTACCCGTGTGCGAATCCCTTGTATAGGAAGAACAGCCGGAGAGAGACTGCCGCTTTTCCCTTTCCTGTGGCAAGCTCCGGCCCGGCCGGCTCAGGGATTTGGAACCGGGCTGGGAGTGGGCCCGGAGCTCCTGCCGGGCAGCAGCGCTCCGACTGGGCCTGGAAGGGCTCTGGACGCCTGCCGGGCAGCAGCGCTCTCTGGCTGGGGGGTGAGTGTGGAAGGGGCAGGCCGTGGCAGCCCGGCCTCCAGTCCAAGTTGTTTCATGGAGAGGAGGGAGGGAGGAGGCGAGAACCCCTTATTTTGGAAATTGACGTGGTCCTAGCCCATTTTCAAAAACAGAAAAAAAAAGTTATTATGGAAATTTCACCACTTCTGTATGGGAAGGACTGATGGCAGCTAGAATTTTAGGTTGTAGCATAAAGTGCTTTTAAAAGAAATACTTGGATGAAAAGGAAATTCCTTGAATGCTAATTGTGACTGTGAACGTGTTAAAACTAGCCACAGAGGACGCACTGGTGTTGGTCTCGCCGTACTTTCCATCTTTGATAAAACCCATAGGCACCACAATCCTGGCTATTTGCATTTCTGCAGATCTGGGAATTATCCATCTGCTAAACTGTTTGCCTGTTACTTTCTTTCAAAGGCTAAACTGTAACGAGGTCAAACTCCGAATTTCCCCATAGTAAATACAGTATATGTTAAAATGGGATCCTTTTCCCAAAATAACCTTTTATTATTACAAAAGCCAAACATATCCCTTTTGAGATATAGATTCCTGTCAGACAATCCTTGGTTAAAATTTAATCTGGGTCTTTGGGATTTGCTCCTACAAAGGTATGTGTGTTGTCCTTTCATTCACATCCACGTCATCACTGGTATTTCAGAAAAAACGAGAGGGAAGTTCAGAATTCAAGTGAAGTACAAAACTTGCTGTCCAATGAGCACTCCTGTTGAAAGTAAGACTTGAAATCAAAGATCTTACTTAGTGTCCAGCTTTTGAACTGAGCTATATGAATAAAACCAACCATGACCTCAACAGATTTTACCCAAACCCACGTCTAACTTCAGTATCTTTGGTCAGGGATTAATTAGTTACCCGTTCAAACTGGAATTGAGATAGTGTACATCCCAGAGTTTACTAGATCAGGCCCGAAAAAGAAAAAATACAGTCAATCTAATAGCACACCTTGGGTGAACAATTGGATTAACAGCAGCACGTAGCCCTAGATAAAAGCATATAAAAGTGAGCTAACTCTTGTCTGGCTCACACCTTTGCACACGCCAGGAGATGCAAGTGCTGCATAGCTGGAGACCGAGCGCTGGTGGGGGCTCAGTGTAATTGTTCCACTTATTTCAATGGAGACTTATCAGTTGTAGCTAGAGGTTGCCCTTGTGGAAGGAGCCTGCTGGCAGTGTTCCCTGTGGAGCTCAGTACTTCTGAGGAATGTGGGATCTAATCTGTCCTGAGGAGGTGTTAACAATGGGGTGTGTGTGTGGTGCCAGCCTGGTGCAGAAGCCTGGTATCAACCTAACCCAGGAGGGGCTGGCTCCAGTTTCAACACTACATGTGAAGATAGCTTAAGAGGTCTTGCTTTATAGAGAAGTTTCTTCCCTTGGGGGGATTCTCTGCTTGTTGCCTGTGGGGCCCCGCTCACCTTGACCTCCGGAAGCCATTGGGGCGTCTCTTTTTGAGAGTCGGCATCCCCCTCCCACATGCTATTACAACATGTGTGGATATTTTCAAATTTTCAAGTAAAATGGGAGTGAAAAGGTCGGATTCTTAATTGATGTTTTCAAAAGACATTAGCTAGCATAATTATGGTTTTTTAGTTTCGTCTGATGCAGAAAACATCTATGTATTTGGTCTTGAGCATGATTAAAATGAGGAAGGGACCGAAAGGAGCCCACTGTCCCTAGACAATCATTTGATCCCATAAACACAAAGCCTGATGATAGCTTTTCTTTTGAGGCAAAGGTAAAATCCTCATCAGAGTGTGACAAACGCTACTTGTCTGAATGGTTTATGCTGGCAATGGGCTGACCTAGTGGTTTTAAAATTATTGTGCTTTTTTTTCCCTCCAGGGTGGTAGGGGAGGTGGTTCTTGGACATTTATTAACTCAAAAGAGAACACAGAAGTTGGCAGAACAAGACTGCCTGGCAGAAAGGGGCTGTTTTCCTTTTCACTGTTATTATTTCAAACTTTGATGGGCTGCTGACGTCAGCAAATATGCCTGAAGCTTGTAAAGCAAATAAAGCCACATCACAGGGAGAAGGCCTGTGGGATTTTCTGGCGCTCTCTTTCCGGAACTTTCTGTCCTGGCCACCTGAAGATGCCTCTCTAGTCAACTCTTCAGGCACCGAGCAGGCTTTGTTTTATAACAAAAAAAGCTCAGTCTGCCCCCTTTTTATTTTTTCCATCCAAATCAATTATATCCCCAAAAGACACTCTGTGTGGGGAGGAGAAAGGACAACAGGTGAGGGGAAAAGAAAGGAAACAATGGGTGCTTTTACTAGGAGCCTTTGTAAGCCTGAGACAGGTGAAATATGGATATAAGAAGCAAAAAAGTGCCTGTGCCTAGAAAGTGGCTAATAAATGCTAGACATTTAAAAACTTTCACCCCCACCCCCACCCTTTTTTTGACAATCACGGCATTAAGGATGAAAGCGAATGAAGAACATCGAGTACACCAGCACCAGGATTTCACGGCCCCTGGTAAAAGGAGCCCCTCTCCTGTTCTTCAAGCCCAAAAATGATCCTGGGAGGAGAGTATGAGGCAGGCTCCTCCCCTAACCAGCCCCATCTTTTAAAATTAAAACAATTTATCATACTTGTTCATCTTAATTATCCCATTCTTGGCCATCTGACCAAACTAAAAAGATTCCATCTGGTGTTTCTGTTTACTTCCTTATTAGAGGAAGATGAGGATGAGGATTTGCTAATTAGAAAAGTTATGTACTGTAGTCGTCATGGTGGAACTGAAAATAACAAAAAGAAAGATAAGTCACTCAGAATCTTGTCACCAAAAGTTTATCACTACCAAAATTTGAGATCACTCCTTCCAGATCTTTTGAATGGTGAATATTTTATATTTTGTTTATTTTTAAAAATATATAATTTTAACGAGATTGCATATATGCTTTTATACTCAGAATTTGACAGTAAATGGCTCCATCCATCTGTTGAATGCGCCATAGTGCATATTACTGTTCCGTTATTAGGTTGTTCCCAATATTTTTTACTATTATAAAATAACACTGTGATAAGCTTCTTTGTGCACATCTCTGTTTCCCTAATTAACCCCCCCCCCATAAGATAGGTTCCCAGAAAGAGAATTCCCAAAGAGTACAAGCATTTAAAAACTTGATACTTATTTGCCAAATTGGTTTTCAAAAATGTTATTCTAATTACAATCTGTTATGCATGGCAGTACCTGTTTCACCACCCCTTGGCTTTCATTAGCTATTCTATTTGGGTAAGAAAATATATTGATCAAAATTAATGAATTAATACATTGGGGCTGGCAACCACTGCCTTAAAATATCTTTGCAACAGAAAGCGCAGGTCATCCGGCCAGAAAGTGGTAAGAGGACATAGCGCCGTCTCTCCCTCCCATTCCCTTTTCCCTGACGCTGCTCAGTAACAGCAATCCTGTCTCATGCCAGAGCTGCTCAACCATCTGTCTGAGCAAGAGGGACCAAAACTCCACACCAGCAAGATGAAAGGAATAAACGAATAAAAGAACCAGACTTATAAAAAGAAAATATTCATTATCTTTTCTCATCCCGAGTCTATCAGAAAAGGTTATGCTTAGAAGGTGATACCATATAATGTATTTAATTTTGTGCTTCTCCCTCCCCACCGGTATCAAAAATGAGGCAAAAATAAAATCAATGCACAAAATAAATAAAATAGATAGGATATCACACTCAAGCTCATCCTTACATTCTTGAAAAGGGAAAATTTGATCGTGAGGGTTTGTGGAATTTTTGTTCTGAAAATGTTTATGAAACGTGTTCTCGTAAACAGAAAGGGAGGACGATGGGAGAAGCTGTCATTTGCTGAGTGCTCTCCAAATGCCAGATCTGGGGGCTGAGTTTTTCACGTGTATTGTCTCTGCATTCATCTTGTGAGATGGAACTTTTGGCCTCTGATTTTACAGATGAAGAAACCCAGGCCACCCAGTTGGTAAACAGCAGATGCAGGATTCTGACCCCAGCCTGACTCCAAAACTTGTGCCTGTTTTGCTATCTCACACCAGGCACATTATACCCATGAAGCGGTTGCCACACTCAGAAGAAAGATCCCTCGCAGGCCCACAGTGTTGGCACTGGAGTGAACTCAGAGATTATCAAGCCTTGTCCAAGTATTTCCACTAAGGCGGTGGAGTGATTTTCTCAGAACCCGAGAGCCAGTAACTGTCTTTCAGGTGTGGATTTAGGGAAAACAAGGAAGAGAAATTCCTCTGTAAATACCTGAGCATCTGTCGGAGAGATGAAGTCTTTGCCAGTGAAAAATATCTCACAAAAATTAATATCCTGTGCATCAGCATGAAAGTTTTGACTGAGTGCCTCAAGGGCAGGGGTGCATACTCAACACAGACTCCTCGGCCAGCAGGGCAGACAGCTGTGCACTATTACAGTCACATCTGGGAGGTGGCATCAACAGCCACGGCTGTGTTGGGGTTGTCGCCAGCACTTCTAACCAGGCCTTGTTTCTGGGGTACATGAGGATCAGGGAAGGGTCAAGGGAGGGAGCGCTGGGCCTTCGGAGGGCTCCTGTGTCCATGTGGTGAGGCACGCACGCCTGGCTGAGGGCGTCTCTGGCCACGCTGACTCCTCTGCACCTGCAGAGGCCTCGCACGGCAGCTTCGAAGGATGCTGTCCCACCCTCTGCCCCTCTCCTCCATTCCCGTGAAAACTGTTCCTGTTTCAGATACTTCCAGGATCCTCCACAGCGTTCAGGATGAAATTTACATCTCATGGCAGGATTTATTAGGTGGTTGATTATCCAGCTCAGGACCCCTCTCCCAAGTCCACCCTTCCCTCCACCT